CCTGTTAGAGCACTAAGATGATCTACTCAGTTACTCTTGGTGCAGCCAAGATCTCGGCTGAAGAATCCCCGGCAGCCTACGATTATTGCAGCATAACTAAGGGAGGATTCAGGGTCAGCTGAATTCTGACTTACTTATTTCGCTCAATGACACAAATCAGTTTATAACTTTATACAACTACCACCCAGATAACTGGATCAGAGAGAGTTTGAATGCTGAGTGAGAGCAGACAGTGCTGAGCCTTTACTTTCAGATTCCTCCATGCTGTGTTAGCACTTCCACATCATTAGCAAACTGCTGCTGAAGTGAGAAGAAGTGAACATACACAATGTAAAACTGAACTGAACAGACTGGGCCCCTGGGTGCTACTGAGGTGTCACCGATCCCAATCTGATCCAAAAATCAGATCAGTCGCTCCCAAATGTTGATGTATCACATCCAGCACCCTGATATAGTCTGTTGTTACGACAATGACTGGCTTTACAACGTTTACTCACCCCAAAACCTCCACAACTTTGTGTTTGCACAGCTCCTCTGCAAGAATCTCGATGCTGCTGTCGGACAGGTGATTCACACACAGTCTGCAGGGGAACAGTTGTATTAGAGCTCAGAGTTAAACGAAGCAGGTGTTTGAAAGCACGGCCGTACTCACCTCACTACGGTCATCTTGCAAAAGGAAGGCTTGAGCTGCTTCACCCCATAGTCGCTGATGTTGTTGTTATCCATGTCGAGCCCCAGGACTTTCTGACGGTGCTGCAGCACAAAGTTCAGGGCGGTGCAGTCACCCGAGTACACATTACAGTAACCCAGCTTGATGAAGCCGGCCGTGATGCCTTTCGCCGTCACCTGAGCAATGTCTTTGCTTCCCGTCTCGAATATGCACCTCAGCATCCACAGGAAGTTGGGCAAGACGTGAACTTTCTTGCCTTCCTGGCCGTCGTAGTGGGGTAAGCCGCGCAGGTGCAACTTGACACTAGTGGAAAGGTACGACTTCAGCAGGGCCCGTTTCTTCTTCAGTAAGACGGGAGACACCAGATGTCCCATCAAGCCTCTTTGACTCTTGGACAGCAGGCCGCACAGGAACAGATTAGTGAACTGCAGGTGTTCGTTGGTTGCAAACGGCTTCTTTTCGCTGGGCTTTGAAGAGCTACTTATGCAGGAATCAAGAGGCAGACAAGACACCTTCCTTCTCCTGCTGCACTCTGTGAAGAACTTGAGGATGGAGCTGGCAGCAGCCTGCTCGTCCAACACCAGAGCAAAAGCCGCCAGGAAAGACTGAAGGGTGATGTGGAGGAACTCAAAGGTAGCGGAGCTCCCGCTAGCACCCTCCTCACTAACAGGTCTGAGAAAGCCGAGAGTCAGATCTTGCTCCATCACACCACACTCACTGATCTCCTCTTGGCTGGAAATGAAGCTGCCTCTCTCCATTCCCTGCAGCGCCAGCTTGGCAAACACAGCAAGAGGCCTGAGCCCTGCTTTGAACGTCTCCGAGGTGCAGCGGGTGCTTTTCTTCAGCAAAGCGGGTGTAGCAGAGCGACTGAGGAACACTTCGGACAGCAGGAGGAAGATGTCGGTGAGCGTGATGCAGGTTTCGGGCAGATGGAAGCTGTCGTGCATTGTGTGCAGGTGTCCAAAGCTCTTAAATACAATCCAGCAGAACAGCGGGGTGGAGCACAGCCCACAGAGGTGGGGGCTGGCATCCAGCTGAATGGACACCAGCTCTCTGTGCTCCTGCTCCTTAAAGTGCAAATCAGTGTAAGTCTTCAGGTGATCTGGGGAGAACCCACGCAGAGCCACCTTCTTTCTGATCACCCTGCTTTGGATCTCAATCCCTGTCCGGGCCGTCAGCACTTTTTGAGAGCCCTTGAGTAATTTCCCACAGAGCAAGCTGATAAGCAGCTGGAGCGGGTTGGCCTTATCCTCCGGTGAAACCACCTCAGGCAGGTTCATCAGGTCGACGTCCTCCTGAATCTCATCGTAGCCGTCAAAGGTAAAAACGACTTTCTCTGGGAAGCGCAGGATGTAATCAAACACTTCATTGTCTGGATCGTGATCTGGGTAGCAGTTGTGTTTGAACAAAAGGTCTCTGAGAGAGATTTGTTCTGCGTCCTTGAAGGTGCTGAACATCCTACAGCGAAACTTAAAGAAGAAGACTGCATCCGTCTGCAACTCCTTTATGGACCAGAGGTTCTGGAGCTTCTGCAGAAGGATGGATTTTCCCACACCAGCATCCCCCATTACGTAGATGATTTCACCTTGGGGGTTGAAAGCTGCGTGATCTCCCAGGAGCTGGTCCACACTCTCTAAGAAGCCCAGGCTTTCATTGCAGTCATTTAGCAGTTCCATCACAGTGTCAGTGTAGAGGTCCTCCAGCCGCGTCTCCTCTTGCTGGCCATAGGACATGATGAAGCTGGTGTCCCGGCTCATGTCATGTCTTAACTTCTCACAGTATCTGCTGACTTAGTGCACATTAAAAAGTGTCAAAGCTTTGATCAAACTCATTCTTAAACAGATCTAGATCAGTGCATCTGTGAAGGATTCACAGCACTTCACTGGTTCCACATGCTGCCATGTTACAGCCTGATAACGAAGTAAATTCCAGTCAAGTTCAGCTCAAATTCCTGAACACAGTAGTCTATAATGACTGAAAAAACTCAGAACTGGTGCAAATGTATTGAAAATAAAAAACAAAACTTGACATGTGTAACTTCTTCCATGACACTCGGGTGCATCCTGTTTCCACCGTGGTAAATTCAGCTGATTGGGCATGGTCTGGCACACGGCTGTCTGTATAAGCATGTCAGTGGCAGCCATGAAGTCCAGTGAACGAATCATCTTCAGGCCTCTGAGACAGCATTGCACAGTGAAGCACTGTGAATACTTTCCAAATGCACTGTAACTCACAACACTACCACAATAACAGCAGGTATCCCAGCACAGCAATCTTCTAATCTAACTGTAGAAGACAAAACTCCTCTAGAAAGGCAAAAAAGAATTATGTGCACTAACATAGCTATTCGATTTTCCATGTGTTCACGTTTTTACAGGGTAGAGAACACATAAGCATGGGGGGAAATCTAGAGTTTTATAAGGAGGTGTTGCTCTTTGTAAGAACTACAAAAAAGTGAAGCAGAGAGAACTGAGGGAGTGGAGTGTTTACAACCCGAGTGCCGCCACTGCTCAGCTGTTTCATAAATGACCAAAAATAGCAAGAAAAGTGTATCAGATTAAATAAGAAAACACAAGAGCAACTGGCCCAGTGTGAGAAAGCTCCAAAAGTGGAATATTCAGTGTAAATAGCTCCAAACGTTTAAATAAAGACTGACTGCTCATCTTGCAGCGCTGCTGTGTGTGCGCGCGTGTGTGTGTGCGTGTGTGTGTGTGCGTGCGTGTGCGTGTGTGTGTGTTATCTGTAGCTACAGACGGGGGATTTCTTCTGGGTTTCTAAAGAGAAAAAAAAGTGTGTTCTTTATGATTTCGGTGCACCGTGTTTTATTGGTCATCACATGATTTAAGGGAGAATTGCAGCGTGACGTTGACTGGTTCCAGGTAGGGAAGCTTTTGTGTGGCTTAATTACATTTAGTTAAACTTACATGAAATTTAGACCAAAAGCCTGAAAGTATACAAACAAAAGTTAAACATAACTGATATCAGTTCAAATGAATAATAAGGTAAAATGTTACAAATGTGTCCAAATGTGTTTAATAATGTGAAAAGAAATCATAAAGAATAGTGTGCCCACCTAAAAAATGGCTGTCTGGATATTTTGTATCAAATATTGTTTTGCGACAGAGTGCAGGTTGCCTTCGGTTATTAGTTGTTTCTTAGATACTGGCTTTAACCACTGCGTTGGTTACTCAAGCTGATCTTACTGTATCTGTTGAAATAAGCTGTGAGGGCTGACAGAGCTGCTTTACAACGTTTGTCTCATGTCCAGCTAAATCATTTACTTTTACAGTGCATGTTACATCATCTAAATCTGTGAAGTGGGCAGAAATGTGCACTGAAATTGTGGCATCACTATTAACATTTAAGACCTTTGCATACTGAACATATTTTGCTTTTCAAGTGCTTTTAAGATATTCTGAGACTTGAGGAGGTGGTAAGGCTGCGCATGTTTCATGCTCTCACAAACAAAAGTTCTACAAGTTCAAGTAAAAAATAACAAATAAAACAGCTTTAAGTCAATAACACTCAGAGACTCCTTTAATCCTGCTGCATCAGCCTGATGGTTACTGTCGTTATTCATTTAAAACACCCACATACTCTACACATAACTTCAGTCACTCAAAAAAACCTCGCTGGTTTCTACAATTACAGTTTGAAATATAACTACACTTTCTGTATAATCATGTAGAAAATATACTGTTACTCTTGTTATAGATTCTTATATTCTACCATAACGGCTCAACTGGTAACAGCAGACTGACTTCTTACAGATGTGAGAGCTGTAAAGTAAGAAAGAGGTCAAAGATAATGACACCTACTTGGATCAGTGTTAACCACCTTCATCACTGCTACATCTTCACTTGGGTTGTAGTTGATCTCTTCCAGCCATGGCTGCAGGTCTATGTATGCATCACATACGTTATAAATTATGAAGATGAAATATTCACAGGCCTCCTCCCCTTTGCACTGGACCAGCTCCAGGACTTTGCGCACCTAAAAAAAAAAAAAACAATCATGAAAGAAATTCAAATTTATATTTAAAGTTTTTAAATTGTGAAGTATGTATGCAATCTACTGACCTTAAAGGAGAGGTCAGAGGTCAAATGTCATTTTATACAGTACTTTCGATATATTCACAAAACACACAACACCTGTAGCAATGATAGCTGTCCACCAATGAATTACTAAGTTGACCTTGAAGACCTTGATGGACGATAGCTGACGTGGGTCGTTAGCATGACCTCACCCTCCACAGAGTTTTACAAACACACAATCCAAACTTTTCAAGCTGTCACGTTTACACACAGAGTGATGACACGCACACATGCAGACACTATCACAAACATCGCCTCCTCGGTGAGGCAGTCAGGAGTCGTATTCAGAGATTTTTGAGCACAGTTTTTGTCTGGGATCTTCTTTTTTCTACCTGATCAGCCTTGGTGGCAGTTTGCTGAACAATCTCAACATCCTCCTGACAGAAGAAGCCACAGGTGAACAGGTTGTCCAGGATGCACTGAATGCTCCTCAGCCTGGTCACGAGCAGCTCTCTGTGGTAGGTGAGGAGGCTGGAGCACGGCACCCTGGCTTCTTTTATCTGATCCATATTTACAGGACAACAGTCAGCTCTGTGGAACAAAAGATCAGAAACGACACTGCTGACAGCATTTCAACATCACATGGTAAGTTTCTTTCTTCTCCTTCCTTATTCTCAAGGGGGTCACCTTTGTGACTTGCACATGACTCAGATGGTCACACCTGATGCCCTTCCTGACACAGCCGTCCCAGATATTTCTTGAACCCTGTCATCACCCTTCGTGTTTGGAACACGTGCTAACCGTGTAACCACTGTGACACGATTTTTGCTAAATCAAATGGACAAAGTGAGCAACAGGACTCACACAGGTTCACTTCTTATCATTTGAAACTGATGACAATTTAGTTACAAAATTGCTCGAGTACAAACAGCAGGGTCTCGTTCGTGCTTTCAGCCGAACCTTTGTGTGAATGTAAGGACTGTTTTATTGGCTCCTTTCTTTTAAAGCTGTGTTCAGAGCACTTTAACAGTTCAGACTAATCGCCCTTTTCAATATCAATAAAGTCTGATGACTGATTTTTTCTGTGTGTAGAAAAGAAATCCAAGTCAAAATATGCCAAATTGCTTGTTTTCTTTAGTCCTTATCTGTCAAAAGCTGTGGTCTCCACCATACACACCCAACTACAGCACAGAAAGGACATTACTAAACCCAGATTACTATGAACCAGTTCATCACCTATCACTTTTTTTTTTAACTTTACCCCTTTTTGGCCAGTCAACTAACTGTTAATTCAGTAAGGGATACACCAAAATATCAAATATATACTAAAATATCATTGCATCAGCAGGTTAAATTACAGGCCAATCAATAAAGTGTCTTTAAGATTGATACCAATGTTTGCTTTTTAAAGGATAGTGCAGACATTGGCCATTTTTTTCTTCCAAACACACAGATTACTCAGACATGTTATGTGTAGTTATTTATTTCCTGGTTTATGCTCCAGCCAACTCTGCTGGAACAGCTGGTTGTGTTTTTGTCTGTCCTGCTAAAATGTTTTTGGAACATGAATGTGTTTGTTTTTCATCAAAAATCTCACCTAAAAGAAAAAAACCATCAGCATCTGCCAATGTCAGCAGTGGCCCGATGACAAACAAGGACGCTGTCATCACAGAGATACAGACACTGTAACGCAGACCTTCCCAAAGTGTGTGTGTGTGTGGGGGGGGGACAAAACGCTTGGACACTGCTGGGGCGCCACAGAAACGCAAAGCAGGAGATGAAGCGTCGCTGAATGTTTCCAAACCAACTTCATTCTGAGCCAAAGACTAGAAAACATGGTGAAGCAAATCTTCCCTTTGGCTTCACCTGCACAGGTGCTGAGGTAGGTCTCCCTGCAGGACTGGTTTCCCTGCATCAGGAGCAGCGCTGGGCTGTTTAAATCACAGACAACAGGATCCCACATTCTTGATCTTTGGTTCACAAACACTTGTTGTAATGACTAACTGCTCCTGACATGTTGGAGACGTTTGCTCTTTATACAGTAAAGTTACAGCTGGATACAAATAACATCAGGCTGATCCTGCCACGATTTTGTGTTTAAACCCATTTTGCACAGAGAGGCATTTTTTGAAAAATGTATTGATGCAATGTTGAACATTATTACACAGGAAAAACAACTACACGTAAAATAATCCCACCGTGACGCCTCTGCCTTTGTAAATGGAGGGACAGTAACTGCGTGTAAACCTGCAGACAGTCAGATTAACAGTATTTGTCTCTATCTGCTATTCTGCAATTCATCCCATGTAAACAATAACGTGGCCACAGCGTGGCGTGGAAAAAGGCTCATACCTCTGACGCTGCGTGACGAACTCTGTATTCCTCGTCCACACGGAAACGCAAAAAGGTTTTTAAAAATGTGTGCGTGCGCGCGTGCACGGGGCCGTTCCCTGGAGGTTACCGTTTGCGGAGTAAGTTTCCGATTCTGACCACACGTGAGCAGCCTGCATCTCTGAGCTCGGTCTGAAACACTGAGTGCATGAGTACCGGTGGCTGCATTTCACAAATACTGTAAACACACAAAGGCTGGCAAGATGTCTGACCTGCAGCTCGCCAAACGCGGTTTACAGATTTATCACTTCCGAAGTTCGTGCTACAAATATCTTTCGCATCTTTAGTCACAAAGTAACACAACATTCGGGCGTATTTTCCCGCTTTTACCCTCAATCCTGGAATGGCTCTGTTTTGTTTACGGAAATACAAACCTAGTGAAGAAGAGTCCGTAACTGGCATGAACGCTTAGCCTCTACCTCTCTTCCCTCAGCCGTGCTGACCCTGTTAAAGAGCTCCTGAAAGGTGCCAATAAGAAAAAATGATGTCTCCGAAGTTCATTGCAGCCCACAGAAGAGTTACCCGTACTGGACGGTATCGTAGGTACAGAACCATAAATCAATCCTACCATTGTGCTGGGTCCACACCAAAGTTACAGCCGGGTTAGAAAAGAAAACTAAAACTTCTGTTAAAATGCACGACAGCCCATTAGGCTACAGTCAGTGCCTGTGCCGCGCCCCTTAGAAAGCATCAGCTGTAGCCACAGATGCAGGAAGTAAAAGCGCTGTGAATGGATGCGTCATTCTATGCGTGCTGCGTTCAAGGTCCCGCTAAAGCTGTGGAGTCCTGCACGTTATGTCCACCCATCTCTCTCTATTTGTAATTCTCTTATCCAATTGCTGGAGGAGAGGTGACGGGGTGGTGGTACACCTTGCACACGTCGTGTTAGTGTATCTATGAATGAATGCATAAATCCATGTGTAAATAAGCCCCTGTTTAAAATCTTTAAAATGCAATAAATGTGTTACAACTTGAATAAGAGTCAACACTATGACCAATGTATTGTATTGCATATCAGCTGAAGTTGAAATGGGGCTTCTTTTATAACAGGCCTGCTAATTTGATTAACTACAACTATCACTGTCGCCGTCCTCTCAGGCGCGTGGTTGGTCCTGGGCGTTCTCCTCTCTGCCTCCTCGTGTTTTTCAGTAAACTCGGATCGCCCAATAAAAATAAATATTTAGTAAAGGAAAAGTGCGTTCAGACATCTGCCTATCACAGCGAAGTCACATCGGAAACACTATTTTGACCAAGCTACCCACCACAGCAGGTTGATAAAGCGCCCCCATGTGGCCGCCGTTACTCATCGTCACCTGCGCGCACAGTGAGAGGAGGAAAACACACCCTGACTGTGAGCCGACTCGCCTTACTCCTGCTTCCATCATACTTTTAACATGTAAAGGTAGCTGGTGGAAGAGAGAGCAGTGTGTCAGGATTAATGTGATGAATTATATGTGAGCATTCTGGACTGTGATTCTGAATAGAATTGGTAAATTATTCTGCAGTTCAAGAGTAACATCCTCAGTGATTCATCAACAACTTCTAACTTATGGTAATAATTATAATAAATTATAATAATATTGTGGAGGTGTGTAAAGATGACAGGAGAGGTCTCAGTGTGGGCCTAAGCAAACGGCCAGAACAACTGAACCTGTGAGGGAGAGAACTGGCAGAGGAAGGTCCATCCTGTGAACGAGGCTGGTGTAGGCGCGCAGGAAAGGCAGGAGGAATTTGAAACGCTGGCGGTTGGGGGGATGCTCCTGGGGGGCGACCTGTGGAACCGCTCACATTAGCTTACGGGTTGTATGCGGCTGTGTGGTGGACCATGGCCCCCAGTCCATAGCTGACCAAAGCTCTAAAACGAACTGGGGGCCTCTGTCTGAGGTAATGTCCACGTGGGGGGGGGCGCGAAACGCGAGACCCAGGTTGACAAAAACGGTAGTATAGGTAGTATACGCCAGGGGGACTGCCTCCGGCCACCGGGTGGTGCGGTCAACAATAGTTAAAAGGTGCATAAAACCGTGTGACTGCGGCAGAGGACCCACCAGATCAACATGCACATGAATGATGATGAAGAACTGCTCCAGGGGTGCCTTGGTGTGTTTATGAACCTTCGCGAGCTGGCATGGAATGCACGCCGCCCATTCCTTCACCGATTTTTGAAGGCCCGGCCAAACAAACTTAGAGCTGACCAGTTTAACAGAGGCCCGGACCCCCGGATGAGAGAGAGCATGTACCGAGTCAAAAAACCGACGACGCCATAAAACGGGAACTACCGGGCGAGGGCGGCTGGTGGAAACGTCACAGACCAGGAGAGGGCCGCCGTCCTGCACAGGTCTGTCCTCCAGTATGAGGCTGTCTGCGCGGATTTAAGCGC